TCTTCTTTCTATACTTTATTAGTCATTTGGTGTTTTGAATTTTGGAGGAAAGTGTGCAGTGTTGGTAGTTATTTGAAATGTTGTTGTGGATTCTTGGAAAGAAGTGTGTGTGTGTGTGTGTGTGTGTGTGTGCATTGGGAGATGAAGTGTTGGAAAGCGTTTGTTGGGTAAATGTTGGAAAGTAAATGACTACTCTCTTCCTCTCCCTACCCCCTCTCTTTTCTCCTGCTATTGCTTCTCTCTTCTTCTACTACTTCTTTTACTACTTGTGCCTTGAGATGAAAATATACATGGAATGTTTCCAAAATCCAAAATCCCAAATGTCAAACAACCAAGTCGGTATGTAAGCCCAAAAAAAGGTATGTTCTTATTTAATTGCATTTTATTTTAATTATTTGTATATTAAATATTAACATGCTCTAATATAATTTTCCCTTCTTTTTTGTATTTTGTATGTGACTTTTGAGAGGCAAGAATAAGGAGCTATTGGAGTTATCTAGATAAATGGATACGAGCATCAATTACCCTCAATAATTCTGATGGGGGTGCTACATGCAGAACAACCAGGTCATAGTCCATAGAGTTGTAAGTTTTCTTAAAACTTAGAAAGCCCATTAGGAGCCCTTTTAGTTGTGGATTCTTCTACCCTTAGGTCCTTATAAAAACTTCATTTTCTATATTCATTTTCATTTCTTAGGAATCAAAAACCCATTTACATGTGTGTGTATGTCTAAAGGGTTAGTAACAACATTTTTCATCCTATACAACATTAGTGATATTTAAGGACAAAAATTAAGTATGAGTCTTAGAGAACATAGACTTAGGATGCTTGCACCCTTTAGGAGAGAAATACTAAACCTAGAAAACTTTGTGACATCTCACCATAATATTAGTACATACTATTAGTCTAAAGTTAATCAAAATTAGCCAAAAATTGAAAACTCTAACAAAACTAGGGATAATCCAAACCAAATAATACATAGAAAAAAAAACTTAACTTTTTATTAATCAATCATAACTAATACACATAATTAGTAAAAGATAGAATTTGAATATAAACTTGAACTAAACACATATAATATATTAATCACCCTATAGTTGAATAATAACTAAGTAAAATTTATTAAAAATAAAAATGAATTCAAGAGTTATAAAGTGAATAAAAAAAGGGAGAACAAATCTAAACCAAATATGATAAAATGAAAGACTTGTAAAATTCAAATTCTAATTCATTAAATATCCTAATAATTAATTATGTATACAATCTAAAATCTTTTAAGAATTGGAACTAAATAATAAACCTAAAGATTAAGAATTTAAATGACTGAAATGTGTAGAAATGAGCACAACAAAATACTTATTAAAAATTCAGCACAACTCTTAATCTAATAATTGATCTAAAATTTAATTAAACAATGAATCAACCACTTGAAATTATTTAATCAACCCTTAATTTCCAACTAACTAAATTAAGCTAATAAAATTAGTTATTACTGGATAACCCAGTCCTATGAGGCTACTTAGTTAGCCCCAAGGAGGGTAAAATAAACCTCATGGCCCCGGTAAACAATAAAGATAATAATAACTAAACTTTAAAAATAAACTATTAAAACTAACGATAAGATATTAATATTTAACATTGAATTAAAGCTTTCCTTTTAACCTTCAACAAATCAGAATAAAAAAAAACTTTAACCAAATTATCCTATATAGAATATATCCAAACAACACAACCTACTATACACACTTATATTTATTTGTTAGGGCATGACTTCAAGCTTTTATGTTAGGCTAGTGTTTTCTTTCTATTTTTATGATGTGGAGATATGCATGTGAAATGTGTGATATTTTATTTGCTATTTGTTATGTTAGATTTTTGTGATGATTATTATACTCTCTCTGTGATGTGATAGAAAATATATTACCCATAGGTTATGAATGATCTAGATGCTCATGAGATTTTTTTTAGGTGACCATGCTAATATAGGGCTATGAAAAAGGGGTTAAATTTAATAATGATTTAAACTAACAATTGTTTTTGTAGGTTTTTAGAATGTTTAGCCCCTCTAATAATAAAAAGATCATGGCCAAGATTAAATGTTAATAAAACTCAGCAAATGATTATTATGAGATTTCTATGATTGTGATTTTTATACAAAGATTAATTACTAACATATAAGATTATAAAGTCTTCTTCTTTTCAAAAATGTTATTTTATCTAAGAGTTATGAAAATAAAAAAAAAAAGCATTTTAAAATATTAGAGATCTAAAGAGAAAAGATAGTCTCTTACATGGAATTTTTTTTCATTTCAATATCCTATTGGATGACGTATCCCAAAGATATTGAAGGAAAGAATTTAATAAAAGAGCAAGAAGACGAAGATCGAGACTAAAATGCCTTATTTTGAAATTTACATCATTTCCTAGGAGCAGAACCTAGGTTATTGTCGGTGGAGCCCTCGACACCATTATTTTTTTACCCTTTAGGTTTTATAATAAGTGATACTTTCCACATGGACTTTAGAATCTTTTACTCTGGTTGATATTTTATTTTGATTCATTGTTTACTCAGTTTATACAGTAGAAATGACATACTTTTTATACATTTCTTTCTTGTGTGTGCATGTGCCTGAATTTTGCTAGGCTTATAGGGATATAGTTTCTCTACTCGTAATTAAAAATAAAATTCCAAAAATTAAATAATATAGAAAAATAAATGATTTAGGGAAACAAGCTGGAGGCCATCCAAGGTCACATGCATATATTAATGCATTCTTCTTTACTTGATTTAAACACTTCCTCGCATGAGGATAAAGTTTAGATAATTTGATCTATGAGGATGTGGTGTAGAACCTAGGGAAGCATAGTATTATCATTTTTTTTTATAATATTTTTTAAAACATTAAGCATTTATGATTTAGATACTTTAATTAGTATGCATTGCATTAGAAATAAACTAAAATTAAAATTTTATTATATTATCTATAGATGCATATTACCCTCCAGTTGTGAGGCCACTTAGGGATTTCTTTAGATGTTGGCCTAAAATTCTATATGCTTAACCACCCATCTATATTTCATAAAGATTGGATAGCATGGCTTTTAAGCATTTAGATGGCTTTAACTAACTTTTTTAGGCTACATGTAAGCCTAGATTATATTGCATTAGTTAGGTTATGGGTGTTAGTATCGAGTGTACAGTACTATATCCCTTATAGACTTAGGGTCAAAGGTTGGTGGTACTAGTGTACCGCTATATGCCTTATCAATGGGTAAGCTTTCTACCCTTCAGAGGCTATATATCCCACTCATTTGTGTCACTTGGATGATACCACCTCCATATTTCTTTCATGCATGTTTGAGTGCAATGAATTTTTCCATTAATTTCTATTCTTTTGATTGGCCGAGTGTTTATATGACCCGCACGTGTTGATTAGCCTAATTGAACCTATCTTCCTTTGATTAAGAGAGTCTAAATATTCCCTTATATGAAAAACCCTTTGAGAGAATAATATAACATCCTTAATCAAGAGTTTTCTTAGGCTTAGGCCTAGGATGTAATTAAACATGGGGGCTTGTACCCATGGGAAATTGATACCCACATCAAATAAATCTCATTGGAGCTGATGTATCGAATGGGAGAAATCTCATGATTTGTAGGTTATACATATTATTATCCATTGAGTGAGTAGGTGAAAGCCACTATCCTCCATGGTTAATCATTTATATAATCCCATATGCTCTCCCATTAGCCTACTTATGCAAATTATAAAGGTCTACGACTGTTCTATCCTATGAGGTAGTGTGATCATACTCTTTAAATTCTGACCCTTCGAGCAAAATCTTTTCATAGACCCACAAATATCATGTGTAATATAGAGCTTAGGAATATGAAAGCTAGCATAATAAAGTATATTGAATTTTTATGTTACAAGGATAGGCATTATGCTTAGCATATTACACATTTATAAAAATGAATTATAATGAGAAGGTTTTAAGATTACATGTTTTACTTACTATTCTAATATTTTTATAGGGTGACATACTAACAGAGTTTAGAGTGATTTTAAGGTTGGAAGGTTTAATATGTCATTTATCTCTTCACACTAAATTGAGAGATTGAATCTCCACTAAAATTTATTTTATTGAGTAGGATAATTGGTGCAATTGTAGTAGACAGTACTGTTATTTATAAGTAAATATTCTTCTTCGTAGGATTGATACTCTTATATATCACTATATTATTTGATTTAGAATGTACACTTGCATGTATTAAGTAGGATTTTTATAAATTTAATATCATAAAAAACCTAAGCATTATTTAGGTATTGATAAAGTCCTAAAATATTTTCTTAATTCTTTTGGTTACTCCACTGCTCCCATCAAATTTTTGGTGTCATTATCAGGAAAAAAATTATTTTATTTACAAAATTTACTATATTATTGAATCAATTATTTAATTAGTCCTACTATATTATTTTATTCTTTTATTTTATGTTACTTATTACATAATAGTGGATGCATGCTTTGAATCCATATAAAACAACCATTGCTAGATTTTAATTCTAAAATTGAGAGAACCCTCTCTAGAGTTAGAACCATCAAAATGATTTTAAAAATGGCTAACATTATTCAAGGCTAAGATCATTTTAGACCTCCTAAGAATTTTTCAAACCATATGGAAAACAATATTAATCAGAGCATTAAAGCTAATAACTTTGAATTAAAACCTACAATCATTTACATGGTATAAAATTCTCAATTTGGATAACTCCTATTTAAAGATCCTAACCTATATTTAGTAAATTTCTTAGAAAGTTATGCAATATTTAAGTAAAATAATGTTATTGATGATGTCATTAAACCTAAATTATTATCATTTTCTTTAAGAACAAGGAAAAAATATGGTTAAATTCTTCACCCCCAGGCTTTATTACCACATGAAATGAGTTGGCACATAAATTTCTAGAAAAAATATTTTTCACCTACTAAGATTACTAAACTTATAAACGATATTACTTATTTTACTCAATTAGAAGGAGAATATATTTATGAGAGTTGGGAGAGATTCAAGAAGATGCTTATAAAGAGCCCACACCATGTCCTGATTGGTTGATAATTCAAACTTTTAATAATAGATTTATAGGATCCCTTAGATCCATAATTGATGTTGTAGTTGAAGGTTCTTTGATATCAAATCCTTCTAAGGATGCTTAAGAATTAATTAAGGAAATGACAACATGTAATTTTTAGTGGCCTATTGATAGTGTGAACTAATAGGGTGATAGGAGTCTATAAAAATGATTATTTATCTAATTTGACTGCATAAGTTGCAACAATATCAACTAAGTAAAGAACTTTAAGCTTAAATCCTGATTCATCTTTACATTTGGAAGATAAAAGTTCAATGAAAGATAATAATATCCAAGAGATTTAAAATATAAATTTAATTGAGAAATAAAATAATCCTTATTCAAATACAAATAAACCAGGTTGGAGGATCACCAAAAGTTTAGTTGGTCAAATAATAAAGATGAAAATTAATAGAATTCTAAGAAAATTGAAATAGTTAAAATCAAGCTAATAACAATCTAAGGCAAACTTATCCTCCCAAATTTAATAAAGGAAATTAATTTGGAACTAGAAAGACATCACTAGAAGATGTGGTCATATAATTAGGAACTCAATTACAAAACCAAGTTGTTTAAATTAAAAACTTGAAAATTCAATTAAGTCAACTTGTAATTTCTTTGAGTAGTAAGCCCATAGAATTCTTACCTAGTAAACACTAAAGTTAATCCTAAGGAGATTGAAATAGATACCAATGGGGTCCAATTGAAGAGTACCAATCATCCACCTTCCTCAAATGAAAAATCTAGCATAGTCTAACTGAAAACTTTAAGCTAAACACATATGGGAAACAACCCATATATGTGTTATACCAGTACCCAATATATTTGTATTATTATGTCATGTTTCATGTTCAACCTATGTTTTATTGTGCATTTTATCATTCTTATGAGAACACATGTTTATAGTGTTTCTTTAAGTGTTTCATTTACATATTAGCAAATTCCCTTCATGCTTAAATTATTGTTATTATCCAATTGCTTTTATATTCTTATTATTTAACTAATCCTTATAAATATAATAATTAAAATTTATATAAATTTAGGAAAATAATAATACCCTAGATACTAATTTTGAATGAACTCTATTTATACTTCATAGGTTTAAAAATTTAATACTTAACTCATTCAACTATTTAAGCTATTATCCTAATTTGAATTTATAAGCTATACCTTTATAAGATTAACTTTTAAAATTGTAAGATGAATAATAAGTATTAAAAATTAGATATGAGTAGATTAAAAATTGAAATTATTGCTAACCTGAAGATGTAATTAGTAATTTCATAAAGTCCTTACATTAAAATCATTAATATTGTATGATGGTCTAAAGTAGAAGCTAATATTAAAAATTCTTAATTATATACTCCACAAAAGAAAAAGAAAAGAAATATAAAATAGTTCTAAAAAAAAAGGAAAAAGAAAAGGAAAAGAATAAAAAAAAGATGAGTGCATTAAAAATCAGTATCAATGAAAAATTGAAAATATAGTTATTTACAAAAATGACGAAAAATAAGATAGAAGGGCTGATACATGGCATGGAGAACTAGTGAAAGTACAATTTTAACTACCATCATATCTAATTGTTAAAACAAAATTATTCACTTCAATAATTATAAGTTACTGATCAAAATTAAAACTTATAATTTTAAATTGTGTTGTAACTAGAATGATTGATTAGTTTAACTATTACTATTTTTCTAAATGAGAAGTATAACCTTTTTCATTTTCACTAATTCTAGACAGTGATGCATTATCCTATACTTTAGTAATTTTATATTGTCAAATATTGTTTTGGGTAATCACTTAATCAGAATTAATTTTTTTTTTTTGCTTAAGGACTAGCAATAGTTTTAGCTAGGGAGGTTTGATAAGTATAAATAATGTTATATTTTATATGCTAAATTGCTAGTGAAACCGTATTGTTTTAGTTGTGTTGTGTAGGAAAAATTTAAGAAAGGCAAGAAATTTCAAGTATCATACAACACCATGGTGATTTAATAAATTCTAGACAATGATGCTTCAATTCATTAAACAACAGGTCTACATCATCAAGCACTTCAAAGGAAAAAATTCTTCAGTACAATGGTGTTAGTTCATTTTATGGGCACTGCAGTGCAAGTGTCTAGAGCTTCACATTGTAAGTGTCCATTTTCTATATTTTTTATAATGGTCCATTTGTAATATTAGTAAGAGAGTTCAACCACTTAGTTAATTTATGTCTTCATAGTGCTTCTATAAAATTTCCTTAGGAGTGAAAATAAAGGGAATTCAGGGACCACTAGATGCAATTCATAAGAGTGTTCAGTCAATATTTAGCCATTTTACAAGTTTAAGGAGTGTTCATCAATAATTTTGAGGTAATTTTATTCAATTTTGTTAAAAGACACTGTAATAAGGTAGCACATTGGTGTGTTAACCAAGCTTTATCTAGTAACTTTTATTGGGATACTCTAGAAGTTAATAAGGTCCCTCCTACCTTTTTTTCTTTGTTAAAGGTGGAAAGTAATAGATTATCTATCACTTACTTTATTGTTTTGTTTCTTTTCTTTAATGCAATTTAAGCAGTTTCTCAAAAAAAAAAAAAAATTGTTTGCAATATACCATCTTCATTTATTACACAATGGCTATCTGTGTAGTTAATATAAGGTGTAATATGGAGCCTATGAATATGAAAGTAGGCACAATGATGTATATTAGATTGATATGATGCAAGCATGACATATTGCTAGATATATATAAATTTAGAGAGATGAATTATAATGAGGGGCTTTTAATAGTACATGATTTACTTACTCTTCTAAGATTTTCATAGGGTGATAGAGTATGAGAGTTTAGTGTGATATTGGGGTGAGAAGGTTTAATATGTCCTTTATCTCTTCACACTTGACTGAGTGGTCAATGATGCATATGCTCTAACATCATTTTTGAAAAAGATTCATTAGGAAATATATTGTATTTTTATTCTATAAATCCAAAACATTTTATCCAAATAGTATTTCATTTAATTATTTTTAATTTTAAATTAAGTGATTGAATCTCCACTAAATTTTTTTTATTAAGTAGGATAATTGTTATAATTATAGTAGTTAGTAGTATTATTTCCAAGTAAACATTCATCCTCGTGGGATCAATACTCTACTTTATCACTATATTACTTGATTTGACATGTATACTTATATATATTAAGTAGGGTTTTATCATTTTTATATATAAAACAACCTAAGCATTATTTAGGGATTGATTGAGCCCTAAATTATTTTCACAATTCTTTGGGTTACTCCACCGCCCCCATTACTCTTGATCGGGTCAACCTAGTCTGAATAGCACTATGATCCTAGAGATCTCACACTTCAAACCAAATGGAATTAGTTTCAATTATATAAATAAAGTAAATAGGAATCAATCTTACATCACATGCCACAATTCATGCGGCTTTCATGTAAGATGCATTGCTTTATGCCAATTGGCATATTAGTCAGTCTTCCTATACTTCTTATTTCTTATAACTTTAGATTACACCATAAACTTTATTTCAAAAAAGCTCGTCAACCCACCTCGTCAACCCACATGTTTCCAGCCAATTTGAATCAATTAGTAACTTTCAACAAGTCTTTCTTAATTTTACACATATTTTATATGATGTATATCACAATATAAGGCATAATATATGCATCTTGTGTAGTTATCATATTATGTAAATTTTTCGAGTATACTGACCCCCTGATCATTTCATACTTGGTATTATTCTACTTTATTTTATAAAATGACATATATACAAAACTAATAGGTGAAATCTCAGTATGAACATGTAAAAATGTCTAGGATGATGATATCTATTATTAAAATCTTTATAATAAAAATTGATTAGAATGTGAAATATTATTATTATTTTTTAGTTTTAAGAAAAGAAAATGGGCACAACTATAAATCATCTAAAATAGAAGAAGGGTTAGGTTACCTACCATGACCAGGTTGCTTTCCATAATTGGTACCCCAGAAAATAAGTAAATATAACCTTCCTTTCGATCATTAAGACTAAATGCCTTTATTTGACCAGATCTGTAGTTGAACATATGGAATCTAATTTTAGTAATAATTGTTTTTTTTTTTTTTTGGGGGGGGGGGGGGGGGGGGGTGGGGGTTGGTCGTGATTATGGTGGTTAGGTTTTTATCAATATAAAATTTTATTTTTTTATTATAAAAAAGAACAATTTGATAATGTTAGTACTATAGTGCTCAAACCCTTAGCGCCATAACACTCGCTCAAACTCTTATAAACCTAATAACTTAGCAGTGCAGTACTTTACAAACTCAGAGTTGTAGTGCTTCTCACCAAAATTTTGATTTATAAAAATTATAGTGAAAATAAAAATTTTGAGATTTTTACAATCCACCCACCTTAGAAAATACTCACCCTCAATATTGCTTACAATGGATACATAACATAACATAATATAATTGGTGATTATTTATTGCATCAATGAAATCAATCAAATAATGTATTCATTCACTATCACCTCTATGCATGTTAATTAATTACTAAAATAGAATATTATGAAATACATTTCAATTAAAAGTAATAAAAGTTTTTATTAATATTCCAAAAAAAGAATTATGCTAGTGAACCTTTTTGAAACATCTCTGACTACTTGCTGACTCAAGATGTATGATGGTAATGATTGTATTGTGATATAATATTAATAAGAATAACACAAGTGCAAGTGATAATCAAGTAATAAAGTGTATGAGAGAGTGTCGATACCACAAGAAAATATTATGTTATAACTGACTCTAGTACTAACTACTCAGGCTACTGAATTTATCCTATATAGGAAATAAATGGATCATAATATATGCTAGAGTTGTAAATAATTGAGGGAAAAAAATGTCCCATCTTGAATCCTACATCCAACTAAGGCTTGAGTGATTATAAGGCGATAACTAGGGCTAATTCCTCCATAGTTTCCTAAGACT